ATATATATATATATATATATATATATATATATATATATATATATATATATATATATATATATATATATATATATATATATATATATATATATATATATATATATATATATAATAATAATAATAATAATTAGAGATTAAAGTGCCATTTTTTACAACAATCACAATAGTGATGAAGTAATTCAGAAGCACTAAACAAGTAAACTTTGAGTCTGAAAAAGAGTTCATAAAAAGTTCATATTTTAGTCTTTTCTTGAATGTTTCTATAGAAGTTGAGTTTCGCGTGTTCAAACATAAATCATTCCAAATTCGAGGTGCAGCCATACAAAAAGATTTTGAGCCTAAGGAGGTTTTTTGTTGACGACGTGTAAGTTGGCAACTGTCTAATGATCTTGTATTTTGTTTTGAAGTTCGGACTTCTAGGAGTTCAAATAAATATGCAGGAGATTTTGATAATAAAATTTTATATGTGATAACTGATATTTTATAGATTATTCTTTGATGTATTGGTAACCAATGAAGAGATTTCAGCAATATTTCTGATTTTAAATGGAAAGGAGAATGGAAAACAATACGAGATAAGTTATTTTGAATTCGTTGGAGTTTTTTAATATTTTTTTGATAAGTGCCAGATAAAATGCTGTTACAATAGTCAAGCTGAGAGTTAACGATGCCACAAGCAATTATGTTTGCAGCTTCTTAGGTCAGACATGGACGAATGTGGCGAAGTGCACGAATGTGGTAATTGCAGGATTTAATAATATTGTTTATGTGGTTGTCCATAGAGAGCTTTGAATCTAGGATGACTCCAAGGATTTTTACTGAATTTATTGTAGTTATTGTGGTTCCAGAAAACGCAATATTCAAATCATTTTTATATTTGCTAGTTTGTTTTCTAGATCCAAATAAGATAGCTTCTGTTTTATTTGGATTAAGCAGAAGTCCATTTTCTAGAAACCATGTTGTAACTGCATTAGCACACTCAGTGATTTTGGTGATGCTATCTTTGCCAGGGCTGAAGAAAGTATAAAGTTGGGTATCATCAGCATATTGATGATGATTTGTACCAAATTTAGCTATAATACGATATATAGGTGAAACAAAAATGGAAAATAGAAATGGGCCTAATACACTACCCTGTGGTACTCCTGTTGAACTTGCTATTAGTCTAGAATTTGATGATCCAATAGAAACAAAAGATTTTCGAGAGTGCAAGTATGATGTTAGCCATTTTAATGCAATATCTGTGACACCAAAATCATTCTTAATACGGGTAATCAGCAGGCTGTGATCAATTGTATCAAATGCTGAAGATATGTCCAGAGATAGTGGTCAAACCATCATCAATGTTTAGCAGGATGTCATTGCATATCTTTAAGAGTGCTGTTTCGGTTGAGTGATAAGATCTAAAACCAGAATGTAGAGGATTGAAGTTGACAGATGATGTTACATGTGGACGAAGACGAGATAAAGCAAGCTTTTCAAGAATTTTCGAAATTGTATTGAGATTTGATATGTGGCGTAGATTTGTTAGGTCAAATTCTGCTAGTCCTGATTTTTTGGGAATTGGCGTTATTTGAGCAACTTTATATGAGGTTGGGAAAATTCCGGATTTGAATGAGAGGTCAGCAAGGTGAGCTATAATTGGACTGAATATTTCTGAACAAGATTTAAGGATGTTTGTTGGAATAATATCAAGTGGCGATGTCTTAGATTTGAGAGTTTTGATTATTTTCGACACATCTTTAGGTGTGACTGTACCAAATGTGGTTAAAATATCTACAGGGGGAGATAACTCTGAGATAAATTTAGATATTGGAGTTTTTGCAAGCCTTTCCTGAATAGTGTTCTTTATAATTTCGAGTTTGCGTATGAAATATTGACTTATTATATCGCATTTTGCTTCTGGTATTGTGTTATTAGTTTTAGAACTATTCGAATGTAGTAATTTCTTGGCAATGTTCCATGTTTCTTTTTGATCACCGTATGCTGAATTTAGTTTCGCCCTATAATGACTACATCTGGATTCGTGAATTGCTGCTGCAGCCTCACGGCATGCAGTTCGATATAATTTTTTATCTGATAAACTACCAGTTTTTCTATAACAACGTTCAAGTTTACGACGCCTGATTTTCTATTCTTGGCATCTGAAGATAACCATTGATCATCGTGTTTACCAATTCGCATTGAATATTTTCGAATGGGTGCTAAATGATCAAGAACAGTTGTTATATTTGATCTTATTTGTTCAGCATAATCATCCACATTGTTTTCAGGTGATAAGCAACATGGCATCACTTGCAATTTTTTTATAAAGCATGACAAGTTAAGTTTTCTAAAGTTTCGTTTTGAAAACCAAACAGTTTTAGTATTTGAAGGTTGATGATAAAGTTCTACCCGAATCATATAGTGATCTGAAATACCCTCGTCAGTTACTTGGATACTCTTGAGTGAAATATCATCATGTCGATTTATTACAAGATCAAGCAAGTTGGCTATACCA